AGCTGCTTCTGCTGTTGTAGTTGTTGCAGCTGCTTCTGCTGTTGTAGTTGTTGCAGCTGCTGCAGCTACATGTGGTGGACTTGTTGTTCTTTCAGAAGTTGATGGAGGTGGAGGAGGTGGAGTAGGTGACAGACGAAAATTTGATTGCACAATTTGCTAAAAATATCGGAAAAAAAATTTTTTTCACTATTGAAAAAACTGTACAGCCAACGACAAATGTTTAAGCGAATTTGTTTTTTTTTGTTTTGCAACTTTTCTTTCACATTAATGGCTAAGGACCTGAGTTAAATGGTGATATAGATAGTATGAGAAGTCAGTTACATGATGTTTTATAGGAGACGACTCTGCTTATCTATACAGATGTTTCATAATTAGAATTATTTGTTTTTCACACAAAAATAAACTTAAGTGATTTTCAATATTTGGTATCTTCTAACCAAAAGATTTGCAGTAAAATGAAAAAATAAATAGACCAATCGGTAGAGAATTTCACATTTTGTCACTTTCTAAAAACACAATTTTATTCCCAAAGGCAATTTTTATCTCCAAAACTTAATTTTAGTGTGGGATGTTGGAGTAGATGTAGATAAAGGCACGAAACACCCACATGCTGCTTGAGGGCTAAAGGAGGCCATCTTTTGTGATGGATTTTCTAAATTTGCGAAATAAACAGAAAAAACTGTTAGTGTAGCCTCTTTGAAGTTGCAATGTGGAACTTACATATCTTATTTAGCTTCATTATATTAATATAAAATACCCAAAGTTTCTTTTTTTTTAACTGACATTGGTTTTTTTATTTGTCTTGTTGCTCTTCGCATGGTATTTATTTTCTTTTTATAACTTATTATTATTAGTCTAAGCATTGATTTGATGGATAAATGAGCCTGTTGTACGTATTCATTATATCTACATCAGATCTTAAGGGTACCCCCCCCCCTCTTTTTCATGATTTTTAGATCTCAAAGATGGTTCAACCGATCGGATTGAAATTTTTACCACAGATAGAGCACCTAAAATAAGGAGACACGTCTTCGAGGAAAAATTTTTTCAAGAGGGTTTTCATGGTTTTTTTTGGAAAACCATGGTTTTCCATAGATCCTCATCTTGCCATGGGAAACCCTCATCAAAATTTGTCCGATTGGGCTGAAAATTTTTTTGCAGATAGCTACGACTATATCGCAGAGGTAGTTTTGAGCTTTTTCAAAAATCTCACTTTCTTTTTTTTTTATGAAACAAATACGTAAAGGTTCTTGAGCAAATCCGGTTTTTAGCTGGAAACTTTCGCATATTTGTCTCATAAAAAAAAAAGAAAGTGAGATTTTTGAAAAAGCTCAAAACTACCTCTGAGATATAGTCGTAGCTATCTGCAAAAAAATTTTCAGCCCAATCGGACAAATTTTGATGAGGGTTTCCCATGGCAAGATGAGGATCTATGGAAAACCATGGTTTTCCAAAAAAAACCATGAAAGCCCTCTTGAAAAAATTTTTCCTCGAAGACGTGTCTCCTTATTTTAGGTGCTCTATCTGTGGTAAAAATTTCAATCCGATCGGTTGAACCGTCTTTGAGATCTAAAAATCATGAAAAAGAGGGGGGGGGTACCCTTAAAGGTCTATTATTATCTTGATGAACTTAGAAAGACTAAAATTGATTATTCCTCGAAAGCCAGAACTTAATCAATTATTACAAATCGCGTTATTTTAGAATATTGAAAAATGTATTCCAGCAATTTAAATTTCAAAGAAGATTCTGGAATATTCTAGAACCTTCTAAGCCTTGTTATTAATATTATTCAGTGGCTTTATTCTCGATTGTTAAAGTCTATAATGGAAGGATGGCCTTTAATCCTGATTGCTAGCGGCAAAAACTTCGATTTAATTTTCTTCGAAAATATACATGAATTCGATAAAAAGACGAAGAAATATTAAAAACAAACATTCAACTTCGAACTGTGATGCGCTACTAAAAAAAAACGACTACTTAATGCTACTCTATACTCACTTTCGAATATTTTAACAGTAGACTTGTAGAAAATTCAATTTTCAACAGAGCGTGAAAGTCTCTATCGATTCGTCTATTTATTTTTTTTTTACATTTTACTGCAAATCTTTTAATTAGAAAATACGAAATACTGGAAAGTATTTAAATCTATTTTTTATGTGGCAAAAAAATAATTTCAATTAAACATTTTTCGTTGACTATATATATAATTATCTTACTTCGATACGATCGATACGAAGTTTAAGTCGTGTTAACATTCGTCCGATAGAACGAAAACGTTCATTGATTTCTTGTTGTTCTAAAATTTGATGTATATTACCAAAATCAATATTTATATCTACACCATGTCCATCTGACTAGAAATACATACAAAAAAAAAGAAAAATCATTTACTAGTTATGACAACAATCATTTTTTCTCTTACAGCCATCGTTGTATTCACTTGAGCTTGTCGTCCAACATCGCCAAGATCATTAAGTAAATTTTGTACTAAATTCTATATAATAAAAAACAAAATCATAAAAATCGTAGAAAGAAATATCAACTAACTTGAATATCATTCGGTTGTAAATTTGCGGCACCTGGAAAAGCATTAATAAAAATACTTGTTGTTTCATTAACTTCATCCATCATTGCTTGATTAATTCCACCATCATTTAAACGATGATCGATAGAATTTAATGTACTACCTGATGCATTAGTAGGACCTGGTGGTGGTATTGGTTCAGCACGTTCAACAAAATGTACTGTTTTATTTTGGATATCTAAGAAAATTATATTTTATATAAAATTAAATAATACGAAAAAAAAAAGATTTTCTTCATACTGCTATCGATAAGTTTTGTATCATCTTGTAAAACTTTTCCTTGAAAAATTAAACGTTGCCGTTCAATTGGAATATTTAATTCATCACGTAAACGTTCTTTAAATTGACGTACGTTTGTCTAATAGAAATTAAAAAAAACAAAATTTTTGAAATCTTCAAAATAAAAAAAACATAAAAATTTCATTTCATACCGATTCATCGACTTCATACTTGCGACTATCACCACTCAAAAACTTAAGCGTAAATTCAAGCATTAAATTATTATTTATATCTAAAATAAAACAATATTTATCTGAGCTGAATTACTATGCTTGTATAAAATAAATGCTGAATTAAATATTCTCATTTAAAAAAAAAATATCTTATTTCATTTTTGGCAAAAACATGCCGGCTCGTTTCATATATTCTTGATATTTTAATCCAAATTTTTCAATTAATATTTTTTCTTCTTGTTGAATACGTTTATGTATAACAATAAAATAAGATAATGAAATAAACCATGACAAAATAAAATGATTATAAAGAAATGCAGCACCAGTTAATTCAAGAAATGTACCAGTATATGCTGGATGTCGCATATATGCATAAAGACCTGTATCAATCATTTCATGATCATCAGTAGTACTGACTTTATATGTATAAAATTTTCCTAATTGTATTATAGCAATTTGTCGAATAAGAAAACCAGCTATGAATGTTAAAATACCCAATATAGCTGATAAATTCGATGATAATAATGATGCATAATGAGAATTTTTAAAAAAATAATAAATTAATATTGCTAAAATATTCGGAATATATTTCGTCAAATAGATTAATTTTAATGTTCCTTTATCGGATGTTTTATTTAATTTTTTATTAGATTTTTTTTCATTTTCATTTTTGGTTTTATCTGGTTTTAATCGTACAATAGAATTGTATGTATCAAATATTGCTACTATTGATATACATATGAGATAAAGAAAAAAATGTTGTTGAGAAACTGTTCGAATAATCATTATAACTAAATCTAAAATCAAGTAGAAAGAAAAACAAATAATTACGCAAATCGCATAACTCAAACAAGAAACGAATAAAATTCATGTAAATTTTCACACATATTATTCAATATTATATAACACATCACAATTGAATGTATAGTCCAAAAGAAAGAGTCTTTATTTTGTACTTCTATTAGCTGTTAAAATAAACTACTCGAATTAATTACGTAATCATAAAGAAAATATATTTTGCTAAAAAGAAGCTCATATTTAGTGTAAATTTCATTATTTATGAACTAGAAGAACTCATAAATAATGTCGACCTATTACTAATGAATCACATTACTTATCTTAAGATGACAAAATGAATAATAGTAATTAGAGTTTATCTATTAGAATAACATTTTCTATAAAAATATATGTAAATATTCAACAAAAAAATATAGAAATAAAATCTGTACTTTCTTTTTCTTGGTTCAAATATAAGGTTGTGACTACACCCGAAGAGAATGGTTATAAATAAACAATAAACGATAGTCCATATTTTACCTCATACATACTGTACTTGCCAAATCGACGATAAAAAAAAAAGTCTTGACATATAGAAAATTTTTTTTTTTTATATATATGAAAAAAAAACATTTTTCATCTAAAAAAAACAAGAAAGATATTTTTTATGATTGGAGTTTTGCTAAACCATCCATAAAAATTAAAATTGAATCCATGTCGTTACCATATCGACGCTTTAATAATTTCTCATCAACGTATTTCTATTAATCGAATATGACGAATTATATAGATTTAAATCAAACAATACTTTCTTCTTTACAGTCAGGTGATGAACAATCATCAGATGATGAAATTAAAACTCTTTTTAGTTCATCACCAGAAAATGCTGATGCTGATATTGATACAACATTAGCATCACGATGCTATGTATCAACAAATGTTCAAACAGTTTATAATGAACTTTTATTAATTCGACAACGTTTATCAGAAGAAAATGAACGTTTAAAAAAAAAATCTATTTTATTAAATCAATGGGAAGAACGTATGCGTGAAACAATAGAACATGGTTGGCAAGCACATAAAGATAAATTTGATAGTGAAATAAATATTTATAAAGAAAAATTAAATCAAATAACAAAAGATTTTAAACGAACAAATGAAACATTACAATTAATGCGTGAACAAAATAATGAATTAAAACGTAATTTAAATGATTTACGTGAAACAAATGAAAAATTAATTGAAAAAACAAAACAAGCAGATAAACGTAGTGAAAATTTAATACGTTTAAATCAAATATCAGAACAAAAAATTAAAGAATTAGAAAAAACTATTGAAATGAATAAAAAACTTTCTTTAAATAATCAAAATGAAGAATCTATAAAATCAATTGAAAATAATAATTGTTGTCGTAATATATCGATTGGAGATCATTGTTATGAACATCATTCATCAAGAAATTCTCGTAAGACGACTTTCTTTTTAAAAAAAATTCAATTAAAGATTTTCATATATGAA